TTATATTTTTGAATTCACTAAATTTTAGTAAAGCTGGAACGTGTTAGTCGGCCATTGACAAATGGCGAAATAAACAAAGCAATGATAGTAAGACTTGCTGCCCTTATCTCATCGTTTGAACAGAAAGTTGTCGCTGCTAACGTTCAATGTAGAGTAAGTGAATTTTCGAACTCAAAATTAGATTTATTACTTCATTGTATAAAATCCTCGATTTACTAAATTTGCTGGTATAGAAAAAAAGAATTCAGCTATTTCAAAAATCTCAAGCTGGGTTCATAACTTTTAATAAAAAAAGCTTTTCAAGTTCTTTCAGCCAATGTTTCCAACTGGAGATAACCGCGATGATGATACGGAAAGTGAAGATAGTTTGGATGCTTGGACTTTAGATGATGGTTATGTATTGACTGATGAAGGAGAAGTTAATGAAGGATATCCACTGTTCGAATGGGATGATTTCAAGACGCTGAAAGAGCGGCTTTTAGAAGTCGAGAAAAGTATTGAACGTCGGTATTTGCTTCATCGCTACTACGCAGGGTAAACATTTTTTCCGTTTAGTGTTCTGGTTTCTAAAGAAAGCTAGCAATAGCTCGCTAAAGTGCATTAATAATAACTGGGAAAAATACACAATCGAGCCGTTTTTTCAAGTCTCTTAGAAAAGTTTCATATCCTACTTGTCCCATTAATTCCTTTTTATCTATCCTTTTTCGATGCATTTAATTGACAGACGTTACACTTAAAAATTTACTGAACTATGGAGAAATTTAATTTTTATTCCCTGAGAAATGTACCTATACTTCGCTTGTTTGTTCACTTTGTTTTTTATTTCATGCACGTAAGAATGTCCATCGTGAATAGCCGTCCGAAATCTCGTCAAAACATGATTGATTTGTCAAAAGTGACATCATTTGTAAAATTCCGGCATTTGTGGAGATTTGAAAGAATTCCTACAATATCTGTATCTTGCTGGCTAATTAAACTTCAGTTCTACTATACCAGCTGAGAAGATCCTGCGCACTCAACAACAGAATAATCAAAATGGTAGTAGCAATGCAGATGCAAGTAGCGTTGTGAATGTCAATGAAGTCCAGTCGGAAACTAATGATTTAATTAACTCCAATTGTCCGTTTGATGGCGCCGCTATTACGGTCGATGAAAGTGGCAATACTGAACTTTTGCAGCGCTGGCGTGATTACGTTCAGGAGGCTAAAACCGGTGGACAAATTATGTTCGCGCTGCAGGTTTGAATAAACATTACCATCAAAACAAATCTTTCGCATCTGATTCGCCATACTGGTCATATTGTCTCATTACTTATAAGAAAAAAGGATGCAAGTGATCATTTTGTTTATTGTCGGGGAACAAATCACATTTATGTAAGGCTAGTTCAACAGTGTAGTGCGAATAAATGAATTACGAGATGAAGAAAAAGCAGAACAAAAGCATATTTCGCTTTTATTATTTTTAGTGCTCTTGATCTAATTTATCTTTACGGATTCAATCTTTGATTTCGAAACATAAATCAATGGGTTGTAGGCTTTGGACTCAGCTATTGCGTGGGAAAAATCGATAATGAAAGCAAGTTGCCAGATTTGTCGAACAAGTGAAAATGAAAGTCAACTGTTACTTTGTGATGCTTGTGACATGGGTTACCATATGTATTGCTTCCGTGTAAGTTATGAAATTTTAAATTGATATGGTAATGAAGGGCTAGAATATGAAAGAATTTTCTCAGTTGTACTACAACTATCAACTATGCGTTTTTAGCCACGAATAGCTGCAGTTCCGGACGGTGAGTGGTACTGTCCTTTATGTGTCCAGCGAGCCTGTCGTAAAGTGCTTTGTCTTCTTTGTGCCAAATGGAATCGCCCAAATTCGCAACCTTTGGAACCGATTATCGTATGTTCAAAATGTTACAATGGTTATCATGCATCTTGTTTTGATCGTTCACCAACACTTAATGATCCTAAACAGTGGACATGTCCAGGATGCCTTAATGTAAGCCTTAATCTATTACGAACGACTCTGAAACTGTCTGAATGACTTTTGTATGGGAGAAATATTTGCAAAAACTCTGTGGTCTTGTTTTTATGATATCCTTACCTGGAATATTGATCTGCTTTTCAGACGATATCTCTTTATCATCGTCCAATGATTTACGATTTATTGATTTTTCTTGGATTTAATTATTTAGTTCCAATTTTAAGGCTGATGGTTTCTCGACAGAGCTCGCAAATTCTCTTCTAAATGGTGATGTAGAAATAGCACTTGCTCAACAGGAAGGTCAAGAAAAGCAAAGTAGTTGCATTCAAGAGGATGCAAGCGGACGTCAGGAACCTCCACGACATAGGCGACGGATGACACCAGCCGACTATGATTTTCCTTTAGATATGATGAAAAACCTTTTCAAGTGAGTTCAAAATGTTCCTGCGCATCTGAATTCCAATTTATAGTTCAAAACGTTTTTGTTGGACAACTGGAAGGGGATAATCTTTGTGTTCAATTCATACACACATTTCTGTTGAGTTTCTGTAATTTTAATTTCAAAAATGCTGGAATTACAGTACGATGCTGGACGAGCTGTGGGCGAGACCTGAGTCAGGTCCGTTTCAGTATCCTGTTGATACTAAAGAAGTACCATTTTATAAAAAAGTTATCAAAAGACCGATGGATTTGAATCAAATACGAATGAATGTTGAAAGTAACAAGTTAGTTCTTTGTTTATGCCTAAGATTAAGAATGCGTACTTTGGAAGCGTGGAAGAAAAAAGGTATGTAGGCTAAAGATTCGAAGGATGCAATATGGAGGATCTTCTTTTGAATAATGTTATACTTTTTCAGATATATGACACAGGAGAGTTTTATCGAAGACATAGAGCAAATTTTTGAAAATTGTCGAACTTTTAACGAGGATGAGTCACTGATCGGTCAATCTGGACTAACACTGCATAAATTCTATCTAAAACGATGGAAACAACTGCGATACAATTACTCGAAACGTTTGAAGCGTTTGAAAAATCCGCGTCTGGTACACTCGTCAACGTTGTTGCCATCGTCGTCACCAGCAGTACATCAGCAAGAGTAACGAACAGCCACCGTGAACAGTCTAGGTTTTGCGACTTGGTAAAATATGAATGATATCACCAATCCAGAGTGACAAATAGAAAATGAGCAGCTCTATAATGTCGAATAATTATGACATTTTCTTTCTTACACAACATATCGATTGAAAGATGATGCTCATCAGTTCCGCCGACTTGGTGAGTAAGTAGAATAAACAAATGGTGAAACGATGATGACATTGTGATCCTCTTTTGGAGCGAAATATTGAACCTATTCTGGTTTGTCGAATTTCTTGTTAAATATTAAAGTAATTTTAAGTATAATATGCTTAATACGTGTTCCAGTATTTGAACTTGAAACAGCAAAAAATATCGCCTTGAAATCCATCTCTTATCATTCAGTTCTGTCTTCCTATCATCTCTTTTAATAAATTGGATCTGTCATGATTCTAGAACTGCTTCATATATCTATGAAGCCAAATATCACTGGTGTCTCTTTGTTTCTCGTTTATGAAAAAATAAATCTAATAGAGGACTTTCTGTAAGTTTATCTATTAAAATTTATATGAACTAAAATCAAAATATGAATCTTCCTTAGTTTCATATGGCAAATAATTCTGCGTTTGATAAAAAATCATGTCATACCAGTAATGTTTATTAGAGATCGTGATGATAGGAAGTATTTGAGGAGGTCTCTCTCATCACTCATGACAAAGTTTATATTGTTCATTAGTACCAGTTATTGATGTTATTGCTGATTATTTATCACCACCTTACTGCTATAACCAGCACATCTGATCTCAATCATTTTAGGGAACATCATCAGTGCTTGTATTATCAGCATCCTCAGTCTTGTAAATAATTCTTTTTTTTCATTCGGTTTGGTCCTGTGCAGTTATGCTTTAATGTTGTTGAAATTTTTTTTATATTTTTCGATTTTTAAAGGGTAGGATTTAGATAGGAAAATTAATTTAATTCTCGTGAGATTTCATATTTCGAAATACCAGAAATCATTGGAAATTTTAAAACTAATCATACGTTTAAAATTACTGATTAAAATTAATTATGATGTGGGAGATGAAATTGCTACATTATTCACTTTCATAGATTTCAGATCTAAATTTCCAGTTTCATTGCTGTTATATAATTAATACTCCTTCAATTTTACCATTCCAGGGCTCCCAAATTCCTCGCTTACTGCTCAGGCATTTCCTGAAATAAAAATGTTTCTTGAAAACTTCATCCCTTGTTTGTGAAGCGTTACAATGTTGATTATTGTTGTGGCTTAAATCTTTAATTCCATTAAATAATGAATGTTCAAGAAATTTGGGACAGTAGTTGTGCTACTTATTTTTTGTTATTATCACGTTATTACTAATGAATAATAGTATCATAGATGCACTTTGATTTATCACTTGCTTACATACGTTTAGTAGTAATCATCGTTTTTCATTACAATTTTCTAATTACTGCTTTGCTTTGTTTCCATACTTTCATCACTCCTCCTTATTAGTTTTTGACGTATATATTGTATGTACTAACATTTGTTAGCTTGTTAATCAAATTTTCATTAATCTTTTTCATTAAATACACAAAGTTTTATTTGCTTAGGCAATTTTGTGCTTGTTTGTTGTTAGCGGAATAACAATATGTATTCTTAATTGTTGATTTTTAATTACTTAATGCTTACTTTTTTACTGTTACGAATATTTTGAAAATGCCTTCTCTACATAAATGAATTTGGTTTTAAATTAATTATTTGTTGATGTCCAAAAGATGTTCAATAACATCTTCTATTCATTTCATTTACATGCCTCTCTTCTATCCCATTTTTCGTTCTACATTGCAGTTTTCTGCACAATCACGTGTCTTGTGCTGGATGCTAAATTCTGGAAAAGTATGAAATGCATGTTTTCTCGCTTTTATATTGTTATTCATTTCATCATGCCACTTCTGTGTCCACTAAAGTTAACCTAAGTTGTGTTTGGCATTCGAACTCCGTTGCCTCTTCCAAGTGATTCCATTCAACAATTTTATGTTGACATCTGATCGTTTTAGCTTCAGCTCAAATTTTCAAACATCTTTGTCCCAACTACCGTAAAAATTTGTTTTGGAGGAAAGAAAGTGACATTCTTTGTTTGTATTGTTTTGTACAGGTTCATTCATACCTAGAAAATTCATAAATATCACACCGATATGAAATACCGGTTCCAAGTATCAAACGATCGAAGCATTCGCTTGTACTTGAATTTGTTGTTGAACAGATTGTTTCGTGTTCTTCGGGACTTGTACTTGGATTTGTTGTTGAACAGGTTGCTTCGAGGACCGTATGACAAGGGAAATAGATATAATTAATCGAATAACAACATTCTCTTAGATGCATCTCATCCTCAGTCCTTTCAGTATTCATATGTATCATTTTAGTGTAATATCTTGGTGTTCACATTGGTTTATAGTTTGAAATTCCTGAATAAATTGAGTAAACTCTCTGTCCAAATTTGATCGTCATTAGTAGTTCACAAATAAAATGAGACTATGAACTTGGAATATTCTCTGAATTTTTTTAACCTATATTTTGTTTCTCATCATCAGAAAAGCACAAATCATTGATTTGTGCTCTTCTGATGAGGAACATAATAAAGGTCAAATAAAGGTAAACGAGGCTAAGAACAGCGTCTGGTGTAAAATCTCGTTTGATCTTATAGTACCGCAGCATATGCTTATGGGCCGCTTAAAAGCCCCTAGTCGAGGTATACTATAAGGTGACATTTTTAATCGTAAGGCACCACAGAAGTGAGTTAGCACACTCGGAAAAGTTCAGAGTTATTGCTATGGTTGTTACTGTAGCTAGCAAGTTGGGGCTACACAATCTTCATCAAAAAATTACGGAATAAGATCGGTTGGAAAAGAACAAAACTGAAACGCGGTGAATGAAATAATAGACCCCTGGTAATGAAATACTTAGGTTCCCGACTCGGTCAATAAAAGGAACAAATTATATTGACTTCTATAATTGGCTATAATTGTATATTTGCTTGTATAATTGACAGCAATGTGACGAGACTCTAATTCTGCAAATTCCATTGAATAAATAGAAGGAACTTGAGTCGGGATGACTTTGCTCATGAGCGCATTAGTATCTTTAGTTTTGTAGGAGCTGGGAGAAACAGTTTTACCATGCCTAAACTGCCAACTAGTGTGACGTCCTTTCTATGTCCTTAAATTAAATCCATCTAAAACTTTCAACCTATTTAAAATTAGCAATATTAAAGATTTCAAACATGCTAGCACATAAAGTTTTGCAACTATCAGGACAGATCTTCCACCTTTTAAAGAGAAAGTTGCTAGGTGCTGCGAAATATGTGTTACACTAATAATCTTCGTCAATCATTTATAAAAAACTCACTTCAAATTTTCGTTGACCTAGAAATCAGGATTCAATAAAATGAGGAAACACTGTTATTGTGGTACTAGAAAAGCTTACCAAAGCAGTCACCAATACTGACCTTACAAAACCAGCAAATGATTAACGCCTATTGGAAATGAGCAGGTCAAACATTAAGTATTCCAAACGCAAAATAACTACAAATTAAAAAAAAATTACAACATGAGGGTTCAAGGCCAGACAGGATAATTGATTTGCAGATATTAAGGATGTTCGGCTGAAAATACGCAACCTCTCAAGAAGGTATGCACCGGAAGAAAACATCAATAAGGAGCATCTTAGAAATGAGTAAAAATCGGAAGGGAAGAAAGCTGATAGATAAAAATAAAGAAAAAAAAAAGATGTGAGAATTTCGAAACAGGATTTCACTGATTCCATTGATTAGGAAAAGTAAGAAAACCATAATTGTGTGGCAGAAAACACATCATCAAACTTTACTTGGAATACTATAACATAACGACAATTCACTTGGAGAGAAATTGGAATTCCAATTTTCTGAAGCTAAATGAAAAACATAACTGCATTAAAACATGGACTAAAATGCATAATTTATATGATTTTAGGAGAGACAAAAACAATATAACATAAAAACAGTAGAATTTTAGGAAAATATCCTAAATGCAATGGCAAATAACCCGTTTAAATCTCAACACTACTATCAGATGCTCGAACAAAAGAAAATGAAGAATCAAGAAAGTGATTGGATGGCAGTGAAAGCGGTTCCGGTGTCAACCTTTTCCGAAGTCTTTTATTCGGCACAATGATTTCTTTTACAAATGAACCGCATAATGCGTCTACCTCGTCGTAAAAACCAGGCGCACTGATACGTGTTTGATGCTCTTTGCATAAGAAATGCTGAAATTAAAATATTTGAGAATTGATACACCCACAGCCTAACGCGTTTTAATTGTCAAACATGTTTTAATTGTCAAAAACCTTATTTTCTGGACTAGTGATGATGACACTTCATCGATCCGTGAAATTCAATTAGAAGAAAGTGAGAGACCAGATTTGAGGTACTGAAGAAAGTGATGAAAATATTTCCCGAAAAATTAGGAGAAAAGAATAAACAAACCAGTTGCAAATCCTGACAGTCACGTGTACAAATATCACAAAATCCAGGTCCAACTCGACTTTTTGCTCGAGGTTTCGAAATCTTTGTTTCCTTCCTGGAAAAGTTCGAGTCCCCATTAGTTTACAGTATAGAACATGGAAATTCTCTAAGGGGACAGGATAGTAAAAAAGAGCAAGATTAACTGAAAGTGTCAAAAAATAAAGCTAAAGTAATGACTAGTTTATATCTCGGTTCAATCTCCTTAACACATTCCTAAAGAAAATGATTTGCAATAAACAGAACATACTAAGATATGAAATCGACAATCAATGCAAAAATAGTACTTCCGCTTTAGGTATTCCGGAGAAGCTTTATGAAATATCGACCTTCCAGCTGCTTTACCGATATAAATCGGTCGAAAATTTGAGGGTATTCCATATTCCTTCCAAGAAGGTGCATACTGGAGACTATTATCTTCAAATTTGATGAATGGTGGTGTTAATTTGCGTATACTTTTCTGTAATACTGGAGACTATTATCTTCAAATTTGATGAATGGTAGTGTTAATTTGCGTATACTTTTCTGTAAATGAAAACAATAAAACGAATCAGGTACCTATCATCTGAACCAAAAAACAATATTTAATGAAGATTATAATTCAGGCATGTAATAGTAAAAGTATAACAATAGTGAATAGTCTACATTTCCTTGCCTTATTTTATTATTAAACGCTAGCTTCATTATGTCATGAGAAAGATAACGGTCAGTACCGAATCAAAGCGAAACATCAGACACTTCTTGTCCAAGACTAAACAATTTCAAAAACCTACATTTTAATTTATATGCACACATGGATTAAACGAAACGACTTGATGATGAAATTTCTGCCCCAGTTCACCTATACAGCGAATACTCACGACTGCTTAATCTTTAAGTTTTTTTTATATCAATGCAAACAATCAAGAATACATGCTGTTTCCAACTCCTAACGGTAAATATCTTCTAAAACATCTTCTGAAATATCCTAAAACAACATACCTGACTTTCAAGTTTCAGTTTTACAGGCGCCAATTTAGCCTTCTGGTTTAGTTTAATCCGGTTTTTCACATTTGATAAGATTTGAAGGAAAGAAGTGTATGTTCGAACACGGACATCATTTTGTACAGCAGCTCGGAGCAGTACTGGCAGAGCGCTGCAGCACTGAAAAGATACAGGTAGAAGCATAAAGATTAATAATGCTTCTACGAAATCAGTATCATATATATTTTATCTTCATAAAGTTTAACTCGAAAAATCAATGAAATTTACCAGTGCGGGCAACGTAAGGCATTGCATAAGAGTATATATATTCTTATTGACTATTTATAGCCTTAATAAAAAAAATATTTCCAATACCCACAGAACAGGTAATTTCATCAAAAATAAGAAATAGGTTAAGCATCCCGAAGGATAGAATATATATGTAACACACCTCAGGTGTAATTCTTTTTGTTTTCGTTACCCTCTCCAAGTACTGTGCATGTGGATGGTCGGTAACAATACAAAAAGGTTTTTCACCATCATCATCAAGCGATTCCAAAACTTTTCCACCAAGAAGCTTAATGTCTCTCTGTAATTAATCCTTGATATGTCCCAGCAGAAAAAATATAAAGTTTAAGTTTAAAAAAATAACAAATTTCTGATATTTGAACCAGCGTGAAACCCTCAAAAGTATAACTAGGTTATAATTTGAAACTCAATAAGCTATAATCCTGTTACTTTCCTTTACTGCATTACTTATTTTTTCAACTTCAATACTTACAACTAAAAAACATTATTTATAAAATAATTAAAAGAACCTCAAGCTGCAAACGGCTGTTTTCATCTTCTAAATCCAAAATAAATTCCAGTGAACGAAGCGGCTTTTTGCCTCGTTTTATGATGAAACTATCGCTAAAGAAAGAAAGTGATGTTGATGCTTGAGCAACGGTATTGTCTCCCATTTCGATTCTCGATTTTCTGCTTTCTATTAATAATGTATTATGCATAAATTAAACTAATTCTGAAGGAAAAACTTGCAATTATTCTTTATTAGGCCAAAAGATTTAAATTATTTGAGTGCATATCGGCACTAACTACTGCCTGGCAGAATAATAATAAAACAAAATGAAATGAAATAAACTAAACTTAAACTGAGTTACTCAACTGAAATGAGTCAAACTGGAATAAACGGATCGAAATGTAATGCACTCAAAATCAGCTAAGTATCAGTGAGATAGTAAGTCAAGATATCCTTCCCTTTCCCCTTTTTTCACCATACCGTATCTAAGAATTATTGGTATTCTTAATAGTACTAATGCGAGCCGACTTTCATACCAAGCTTCAATAGTGCTGCACTGTTATTTAGCTTCACCTTTCAATAGTTTTAATTTCGACTTAAGAACAATAACTCTAACTTCAACTTTAATCCCAATCTGTCCAACTTCAACCCCAACTTCCGACAAATCTTGCCCGAAATTTAATCGGCAATCAAAACCGCCGCGTATTTCTAGGATGCCTTTGAGCGACACTGAATTGCCACTATGAAAATTATCGTCTCACGAGATAGTTCTATGAAATAATAGTTCCATTTTCTTTTATACCGCAAATCTTTGATATATTCTGCATTTACCTACTGATTAAATGCTGTATTTCATTCTCTCTCTTCTACCTTTGAACCAAACTTCCTCATTTCTACTATACTCTATTTATTTTCTCATATTGTCAGTAAAATGTCACCGAAGAAGGTCAATAGCGGACAGTAGAAATAATAATTTGTCCAAAATGGTTATTTTATTATTTTAAGTAAATACAAAAAATTACAGTATTAAGAAAATATGAGATATTGATAATGTGATTATTTTAGGAGACTTCCAGATAGTTATCTCAAGAGCTTTTCTTCACAGGTTTTGTTCTGAAATCAAGTGATGGTTAAGGTTCTTCATAGGTTTTGTTCTGAAATCAAATGATAAATAAGGAAACAATAATTAGTTTATCTGAAGAGAATGAAATTGGTGCAACCGATTGGCTGCGAATGTTTCTTTGAGTTGATTATTTAAAGTTTGAATAAATTACTTCTTAAAATTTTGATCGGTGTTATTCTGTGAACAGTGTTCGAATATATTCCTTTCCAATGGAGAAAATTTTGGAATAATTTGGCTCTTTTTTTTCCTAAAATGTTAAAATGTTAAAATCTTTTTTTCCCTAAAATTAAAATTTTTTCCTAAAATTTGAAAAAAGTTTGAAAACTTTCATATTTGCCTAATATTAGCTTGACCTTATTCTCATAGAAATTAGTAATCTGACCTTATTTTCGTAGAAATTAGGAAAAGCATACTTATTGCGACACTTTTTAATGAGTAATCTTCTGCGCAAACGATTACGACCAATTCGACCAGTTGAGCATAGAGCAACATTGCATGCATTTAAGATTGGTACTGAATAAAATTCACGCCAATTACTACCAATCACAAGACAATGTCCCTGAAAAGAATTATTTAGGTTTGGTATGTAACGATCATATGTAAATAATTTTGAGAAGCTAAAGATATACCTCTAATGGATGTCTTACGTATGATAGTGTAGCGCTGTTCTTTCTTTCATTATACGTTTTTTCCGGTTGGTCAACTTTAATTATGGTTTCTACTGAAAGAAGTGATCTAATCCAAAAGTATTGCACCAATCATATCATTATTAATTTAATCATCAAAATTTAATTTTAATTATTTTCTTTCTGCAAATTTTTATTAATTGATTTAGCCAAATAGAAGATATATTAACTTTAGATTCAAAATAGCAAAGATTTGTTTGTTGAAATTCAACTAAACTTTCACCAGCATTTCTTTCTCCTCCAGCTGCTATCCTTGATCCTTTTGCGTAATCATCATTTCTTATCATTGATATATTTTGTGGTTGATGTTGCTGCACGCTTTCAGTTACACTAACACCGGTCTTCATTTCTGAACTGTCACGTTGTTGCGCTTTTGACTGAAAAGTGTAAGAAAGATTCAAAATGTTCAAATTTAATCTCAATTCTCAACAGCTTTTTCTTTACTAAGACAATAAATGAACAAGAGTAAAATCCGGAATTAGTGGTCCTCTGTCGATCATTTATTATTTTAGAGAAGAATTCAAAAGTATATTCCATAAAACATGTTTTTTATAGTTCAAAGGTTATTGCTGATTTAACAAACACTGCCAATTTGTTGTTTTAAAATTTATGGTTAAAATTACTCACTTCAAAGGATCTTATCGAGCCATCAAGTGATTCATTGGAATTCACTTCTTTTGTTTCTTTCAATTGCTCATAATTTTCTTCATTCGTTCTTCTTAGTTGCGTATCATCAAAAGATTTTTCACAACCGAAAGAAAAAACAAGCCAAAATAATTAAGCGTATCCATGACAACTGTATTACCTAATGATTTTATTCTACCAAAAGAAAAATTTCTTGCCACCTTCACTTCACCTCATTCCAAATTATTTCTCATCCAACTGTAATTGATCACTTGTAATTCTTATTATATTAAATTGAAATGATAGAAGAAAATTCAAAAGTTAAAGAAAAATGAAGTTTAGTTAAATTTGTAATTTCACAAACGAAATCAATTTCAAGGAATTTACTTTTCAAGTTTGCTTTCTTTAACATTCTTTTAGTGCCACACAATAATTTAACAAAAGGGGATAGATTCAGACATATCACCTTCTCAAAGATTTTTGGTATTCTTTTATCAGCGAAAAATATCAATAGAATTGTTGCAATAAACTATAAAAAGAAATTAAATCATTCAACACAATTCAGTACATGCTTTTTTCACTTTTTAAACTGAAATATTCAAAAATTTGAAAATTATCAAAATAAAAGAAGGCAGAGAATTGGTGTAGCAAAGGTAAGAAACTATTTTAAATTAATTATGCTAATAAAGAAAAATGATAATACAATGATTGAACTTATTTGGATGAACTAAATGAATTCTATAGAAGTGAGAGATTTTGAAATATTTATAAATTTTTTTTGGAATTAATTCTTGACAGTTTATATTTCAAAATTAGTAGCAAAGTGTTCAAATTACGTAAGCAAAAATTAATTCATCGATTTAAATATTCAATGTAAATTTCAGTGATCATAACAAACCGAGAAAAGTGCAATAATAAGAAATGTAATGGGCACATATATTGGTTGCTTTTTCATATTTATGAAGAGAAAAGTTGACCAAATAATAGCTGATCCGGTAGTTATAGCATTTACATTTATATATAATGAACGATAATCTTTAAGTAGTATTTAAATTTATTTAAATTTTTTAAATGAATAATAATTCAATCGATCAATAATTAGATTAATATACCATCATAGGATTTGAGTTGTTAATTTTTGTGAGTTGAGCGATTGTTTTGATAAAAAATTGTTTTATAATTAACTATTATTAACTATTATACATACTGATCAATTTTTTCTTAAAAAGAATAATAAATAAACCTTGACGATCTTGTTCAATTGCTGTAAGGCCAAGAATAGCCATGAATGTTTGAAAGATGAAGAGAACAACAAGAGTCATTGGAATGATACTGGCAACATAGCCTAGTACTGTGAAAATACATAAGCTAAGAGCGAAAAAAGCATGTATCGATACAACAAAATGAAGCCAAGTAGAAGGATTCCTCAAAAATTTAATTTTTTCTTAATATATTTTAAATTTTAAATTATTGAAACATTTCATTGAAATCTTATGATACAAATAAAAAAAGCCCAATTCAACAGCAAACTGAATTGGGCTTCTTTTATTGTTTATCTTATTTATCTTACTAATAAATTTATTTATCTTACTGATGGGCTTCTTTTATGGTTTATCTTAAATTTATCTTACTGGTAAATTTCATAATTTCACATCATAATTAAATTGTTGTTTTAGAGGAATGATAACGAAAATTATTAATCAGGATTGAAAAAAGAATTCAATTACGATGCATTTAATTTATTTGCTTCCACATCCGAACGAGATGAAAGGAATAGTACCATTTTTAAATGATGAATTTTTTGTTAGTTTTTGAATATTTATAAAATTTCTTCTTTTTCAAATTTGCATACAAATTTTTATTTGTATGTCATAAAACTCTTTCTGACACCTTTCTCTTAGAAAAATATTTTTGCCATCTTTCTCTTAGAAAAATATTACTGCCACCTTTCTCTTAGAAAAATATTCCTGCCACCTTTCTTTTAGCATTTTAGTGCAACTATTTTCTCAAAAAAAACAAAACGAATTAATTGTTTCTCCTCTTTAAAAGATAACAAAATTGCATAGATTTAATAATTCTTATGGTTGTCAATATTTCTTGCAAATATTTCAATTACTTTCATTTACTTTCATATTGCCACCTGATTAATGAACATTTTTGGCACTTATAGTTTTTAAGATGTGAAAATAATCTTCAATTTATATCATTAAATTAGAGAGTGTGAAATTTTTAAATGTTTAGAAAACATTTTTAGTACATAAAATATAAAAAGATAATTTTTTATTTCGTCAATTCAAACAATAAAATTAAAAAAATGATATAGTAATTAACGAAAGATAAGGTGTCATTTTCAAAAGATAATTTATTTCATCAACTCAAACAATTAAATTAACAAAATGATATAGTAATTAACGAAAGATAAGCTGTCATTTTCTTATATTCAATTTAATTTCGTATCAAGATATTTTTTAATATAACAATCTTCCTCTTGCCTTTTAATATCTAAGATATAAAAGATTTATGACTTCCTCTCTTATCAAAAAGATAGCTGCAATCCAAATTTTTAAAAATAAAAGATTAAATAAACTTTTTATATTGGCTGACAAACTTGAATGTATTAAAATTAGCGAGTGTTTGCTAGGAATAAAGGTTACACCAATTTTTTACTTCATTTCATCTTTTTTTTAAAAGTGATTTAAATGTTCAAAACGTTTTTTGTTGAAGTGGCTTAAATGTTTAAACGAAAAATAAATCTACTTTGCAAGTCTATTTCTATTGTATTATTTGCAGGTACTTTTTTACTAAAAAGGTGTAATTTTGTGAAATGCTCAATATCAGCCGTTCATTTCTTTCTGCAACAAGCGGCAACCGAATTTCCCGAAGAGGCATTTTATTCAAGTGACATGAATATTTCTCAGTGCGAATTTATTAGGGCAAGTTATGTCCTCCACACGTCAGTACGATAATATTGTCAGGCTGAAAATTCATCTCACGCTATACATCCTGGATAACTCACAATCCTCCGAATTTTTTAAACTTGATGACAACTTTATGCCTCTATAGATGTGTACAACGATATCCAAAGACTAGATAAAGCGATGAATCTATTATCAACAGTAGATTTGTCAGTAAGTGGTTGGTACAAATACAAACAGTTGACTAATTTTCTCAACAAAGTTCTCAATATTTTCTACTTTTTTCCATCATCTTGTTCCTCGAGATTGATCGATACCATTAAATTTGTTATATTCTATTGAATCACCATATAATGGCAGGATATTTAAAACTTGTCAAATATTTTATAATTTTATATAAAAAAACTATCCGATTATATACTTGGTGCATCTTAAAAAATGGAAGAACGACTACTTGCTAAGCAGCAATATACAACCAAATAAATCTAAAATAAAAACATATATTTAAGCAAGGTGGGACTGTTCCTTAATTAGAAAATCTCTATTATTTTGATAGAACAATACCAGAATACTGTGTCATACATTCTCAAATCAAGTTTCATAATTAATTGATCTACACTTTCTACAAGCTCTCATCACCTCTTCACAACATTATCTTTGTACACAATATATAACATATTTAAATCATTCCGATAAACTAAAATTCTACAAAAGAGATGTACAGTAAGAATGTGCACAAACTCATGAAAAATTTAGTGTTCATTATGAATCTGATTGTAGTAACTTTGAAGTGATGGGTCTGTGATTACTTCCTGGACACCAATAAGATCTTCCAGATATGCGTCTTTGTAATAATACTCAAACCTGAAATTTAGAAAAGTTTGAAAGTTGGTTGAAATTTTGGTAGAAGTTCATAAAATGAGAAACTTTAAAAAACCCGCCATAATTAAATGGCATGAAATGCAATAACTAATGCTTTTAAAATCGAAAAAATGAAAATGGAAAACTGTATTTCTAAATTTGCCTTCGTTCGCTACAATCTACATGTCATTCATTATAAAAATTATTAGCGTATTTTTTTCTTTCTTCTTATAGATTCTTCAAATAATTATTTCATTTGTAATTCAATTATTCACAATCTAGCGGTGCGGTAGAGATAAAAACAGCTTTACCATGGTTCTCCTTTTGTGAATGTGCTTACTTTACTGAACCATCCAAACTTATCGCCGTTACGCCTGATTGCTGAATAAACATATGGTGTTTTTAGAATCTGAAATCCTGTTCAAATTAATAATCTAGGACAGTAAAATAAATAAAATCCGAGAGCGTTCTAAAGAGCTGTAAAATGCAAAAAAAAACATATACAAATTAAAAATAATTGAATTACACATGAAATAATTATTTAAAGAAAAAATCAGCAAAAAGAAAGAAAAAAAGTTAACCTCATTATGAATACACTGAATGAAGCGACCAAGTTCTCGAGGGCTCTGGTATAATTCGCCACATTCATGTTCAGGAAGACCCAAAAATGCTAACCCATGTGCTTCTCTTTTATCCGTTACACTAAAAGTTTGTTCGATTTTTATTTTGTTTTGGTCATTATTCTCATTATTCCAGTACTCCAATCAAACACTGTTTTAATTCATTATTAACAAAACAATGTCGAAACATCATAACTTTTGTATGCTTTTAATTTTTAAGTAAAATAAATTAGTTATACAAATATTCCAATTTTGAACAACACCAAATTCAAAATATCTATAACATCAAATCCTCCAGTGCATTATTATTAAACAGTCAGCACTCCTGATTGATACGTTCATACACTAAAATGAAAAAACAAAATGTACAAATTTCGTGCAATGGAATAGTCCACTTCGCTTTTTCCGACTTCCCAAGTCCCAAAAACGTCGCTTCTGTGATGTTCAAAGAAGTCAAAATCCATATCTTCAATATCTTCCACAACGTTATCCACATTTCCAGGTGTTGTCCAGTCGTAAACCAAAATTTCGGAATGCTTCCTACAATGACATCCACATTTTGAACTACCAACAAAAACTAAAAAAGATTTCAGCATCTTCAAATTTTTCGTGAGATTTCCATCTGCATACCTCAGCTCAGCAACACATCATCCCACTGTTTTTACCTTGAATTCAAAAAAAATGCAACTGAACCTAAATTCCTTCAAGGCATCTTTATATGAGTCCTCGATTACTTGCAAATAGGTTCGGTCGGCAATTGCTACTTTGTCTATCTGAAATAAAAAAATTATTTATCATCAGACCATGAATTCTTGAAAATACAGTTATAAATAAGTGTGACATTTATTTATATTTATATATTTATTTGTAATTTATTTATAATATAGCAACAGTGATTTTCAAACAAGTTGAGCTCTACAAACATTGATAACAAGGTGGAAAAAGAAATTTAGAAGTTCAAAACATGCAAAGAAAAAAATCTACATTGCCCTGCTGACGGATGTTCTCCAGGCATTTATCGAGCGGCACATCTAAATAAATAACCAGATGTGGCCAGAATTTGCAATATGGTATCATATTCTTGCGTTCGATGTAATAATAGGTGAAATCTAAAAAAGTATAAAATAAGGCATATTAATTGCTTCAGCAGATTAATTATTAATCCGTCACGAACCCCTGCATTTTAACTGCACTTTCACCTTTACTTGTTCCCGATTAAAAAACGCTGAAAATTAGCGTGTGTGCCTGGAAACTATACAAGTATAATATACGTGAAAATTAGAAAATGAAAAATGAAGTATTAAATGAACGATTCGAACGCCACATGCAATACTGGAACCATAAATTGATCAAAAAACCAAACTACTACTACGTTTCATAGTTTACTTACATTCTGGTCCAATGTAATTTTTAGCTCGACATGCGTTAGCGAAAATGAAATCAGTGTGAGGAGTACGTTCCAAAACAACACCTTGACCTGAAAGTGTAACACCAAAGAATAAAACACTAAATCATCTGCCACATTATAAATTTGATTATAATTTGTTCTATCATACTTTGGTTCTAGCACCTTCCAAAAACTGGCTTAACAGAGTGGGATAAGTACTTCTGAATTTTCTCAAACATACCATTTTATAAAAACTAGAAAAAGCAATGATTTTTCTGCGTTCTACCAGATTAAGAAATTTGCTTCCATCACTTTTTCATCAAGGGTATCAACGATATTGGACCACGAATGATATAATTCAAAGTGTTAAGTAATGTTATATAGTTTCATTTCATATTTTGAGTTAACTCAGATATGGATTTAGAGTAATAGGAAAAAAGAAGGAATGAGATGTACCAAATGCGTCCCTACTGAAAGCATAAAATCCCCACAAGGGACCAAATATCCTTATACAAAAAATCATTCCAAATCGATAAATTCTCACCAGTATTCATAATATGTGCTACAGCGTTCAAATACTGATCAAATCTGCATCTGAGAATACGATCACGCATCTTTGCTGTCTGGTCGTTGTAAGGGTCTTTGTAGAACATATTCATGTCAAACAGACGGAAGGATTTTGGAAACTATAATCAAAAACAATTAACAAATTGTGAAATAGCAAAAAAAAGCACTACCACAGCTCTTCATTTATTACCAATGAATATAACTTTCTTCGCATGCAAAAAAACTTATAGTAAAGAGTTAACCACAAAAAATATTATATCAGAAGAAATGCTTGTTGCATATAAGTTATTTCATCATCTTTAAACTTGACAATGTGTTATTTTCTAAATTATATATATAACTCCACATAAATAACTGCTATCGAAACAGTCATCGGAGTAATTTATAAAAATCAATTTTTTGGCAAAAAACCAGACTAACCAAATGATAATAATTCCTATAGTCGTTGCCAAAACGATCTATCAGAACTTCCTCCATTTGAAATTCCGGAATAAAATAAAAACCTAATCCATCCGCAAGTGACCGGGCCATATCCGACTAAAATAAAATCATGTATGATAAGAGAACAAAATACTAAATGCGTTTATGATTTATGGTACCGACCACACTTCTGTTCATTTAATCATTAAATTTCTAAGATTCAAATCTGCTGCCATCATAAATCATTTGTATGAAAATTTCAGAAATACACTAAGAGACTTGGTCCTAAACAAGTATTATAACTTTCATGATATATGCAATAACTTCAGATTTAATGGAACAGATTAAGCGGAAGCAAAAACAACTATGATATTCAGCTAATATTATCATTCAAAATTATAAACTACCTTCTTCGAACCAATATTCCCTTCAACCACTATCAATTTCGAATTTTCATGAAATCTCTTTAGCGTCCGATCAACAACAACATGCTGCCATCGGTATCTGAACAAGAAAAATCCCAAATCAGATATGATCTTGCCCTAATTTTATCTAATTATGAATAAAAAGAAATAAATGATTGGCTACCGAATGGCTGTTCATCAATAACAATCCTTCAACCGCACAAACATATAAATCAGTATAACTCAAATCTGAAATGTCATACCCTTTCTCTTTGTAAGGCCACGGATCCGGATAAGTGTCTGGGTCAAGTTTTAATTTACTCTTTTCAACAATTGTCCGTTTCTGACTTCCACCATACAATAACGATAATGAAGTATGCAGTTGGGGACAGGTGCGTATCCACTTACATAATGCACCTGCCATCTTTATTTTCTGTAAACTTATACTCTTATCGGAAATAAAACTGCAAATAATAATTACAATTATAGCAGTTGTTTATGTCACGACCGAAAAATCATCAAGCCACAACTAATGGCGCATTGAAGTAATGCTGAACAGCAACTATCGGAGCAAAGAAAATCTAACGGCTAACCGCCCTCAAGATTCCGGGACATCTCCAAAATGTATCTTGCGCTTGAAGGTTAACTTAAAATGGTTTACAGACCAATCTGTTTATTGTCTTATAGTCTGAAATATTTTTAATAGACATTTCCATTTTTTAATAGACAATTGAGAAAATAGTGTCCATTACCAATTTCGCAGAGCAGTTATCCGTACTTATCAGATCATATAGTTCTCTCAATCAAATTCACATGCAACCTCTCTTTTCACGATTATCTAGCCTGCGAACATAGCTGTGGTGAACACAAAACTCTTTAGTTAAAACAGTGTAACTCCGTGTTGTATGTACCAATTTCCCAATCAAGAATATGCGAATTAAAATGACTATATGATTATGATGATGGACGTAATATGTATTAAGCAAAGAAACGTCCGTTGCACAGAAATTCTGGCCAGACATCGTAATTTTTCAACAATCATAACCTTGTCTTCTTGACGTAAATTAGATTCTATTCCTGTATGTGCAAAAATTCAATAATTGGGAATGGTTTGCAACTTGAGCCCTTAAAAAAATCCACTGCAGTGTTTGACAATAAATACTGAAGTGTACTAGATAGCAATCATCAGAGTCAGTGGGAGAAAGTGAAAGACTTTAAATTCTGAATTATTTCAAAATATGTTACACAATCGCAGTGAATTGCGATACCTTTGGCACTGTACAAAGATAGAAATATACAAGAAATACTGTACAATAAATAGCGAAGTGTACTCGATAGTAATAACTATTGGAGTCAGTGGGAGAAATTCAGCGGGAATTACATGTTACCCAATAAATAAGCTCCATATTAGGATGCGCCTATATAAATGCAAAGCTTACCGCGTTTTTATAAATAGCCTCATTGAGTTTTCCAGGAAATGAAACTTCTAACCAATTTTGCTAAAATTCCTTAGTAAAAAAACTTATCACAAGGAATGTTTAACATAGGCGTATCTTAACAAAGAAACAAGTGGTCGAATAATCCAATCAAAAATACAGAAGAAAAACATTTGAATAAATATGGAGTACAGTGAAAAAATTCTACAAAACAGCGTAGAAGAGATATTCTTTCCAATATTCCTACCACGCCTTAATAAACATACCACATATTTATAACTCAAAAATGCAATATAAAAGTGTAAACAAAATAAAACAAATCGTCTTAGCAAATTATCAAATTGCAAAAATAGGTATTTCAACTTCTTCATAATAAACAAGGAAAGTATATCCTACGCCATTCCTTCCAGTTAACCCTCTTCAAGGAAAAATAAAGTTGTCCGAGTGCTCAATTCTGCAAACAGAAACAAAATCGGACAAAAGACAAAGTAAGCATAGTTAGTTCTAGCTCAGGCGAAATCCTTCATTCCGCATATCTTGAAGATTCAGAATTCGTCCCTTTAAAAATTTTCCGGAATGATCTCAGAGATTGGTAACGGAAGGAAAATAGAATAAGTAACTAAGAGCTATTCAAACATTGAAGGAGTCACCCCAAAATACTGTACAAGTACTGCAAATAAAATGACAAGTACAACGTATCTATAAAGCAAAAACAAAGAAGGCAGTGGCGTAGAGTTCCAAATAAACTGAAGATACATACAAAATAAAATGAGAAATATGAAAAAAAATTTTCTGATTTCTCTAGGCTGATTTTTCGATAGTTCTCAAAGTTCGTGTTCTACGCCTCGCGAATAGTTGAGACAGATACTTTTAAAAAATCCCAAGGGACTTCACACATCCTATACTAAAATACTTCAGAACTCGAAACCTTTACACAATCGCAAGAATAATTCAGAAAACTGAGACCTGGATATCCCATAAATGTGCTATCGAAAAGAGGATGATTTACATAGATATTAAATCTCGAATAGAAAAGCTGCAAATAATCATCAAAAATGTACAACTTATAGAAAAGCTAGTCATCGAATGAGATCAAAGTTATGTAACGGTCTGCATGAGGTTATATAAAAAGGACGATGCAACATGGAACATTTACAAGATGCAAATACCAATTTGTGCCACTTACGCTGTAAAATAGTAAATAAACACATAATTTTGAAAAAAATTCATGGAATTTTCAGGACGGTTCAGACGATAAAGACAATTTTGATATATTCTGCTCAATATAATTACTTTTAAACTTGAAAAATTATGAGCTGGAATCATTTTGATAACATGACTTTACCCAGAAATTCTAAAATAAAACATATAAAGCTGTTTATTCTAAATTCTGCATAAGCAGCAACCAGAGTACGAGTTTGGCAATTCAAAAACAAAGAAGCAAAATTACATCAGTTCATACCAACTCTTAAAAGATTTATACTACAGCTCAAAACAAGATATTCCAAATTAACCCTGAGACAGTAGCAATAATGTCCAAAATAAATATTATTAGTGCATCGTTTAATGTTTCTTAAATTTCAGTTCCATCTAAATTTGAAAAACAGTACACTCTTGCAGAAAAAACCATAAATTCCGATCCCTTCAGTTGTTTATCTATTTTTGCATTCGATTAGAATTACATTCTACAGGAAAAAATTCCATAAAATTTCAATCCCTGCTAGGATCAATTTAGTCGTCGTGACGTGCCATCAACATGCTGTCGTGACGAAACAACATCATGAGAAGCAGTGCTCACCACAGCTGCAGCAGTAGCTTCATTCAATTCTTCATCATGAATCATTCGTGCACATGCACCCAAACCAAAACGTGCATCCATAAGTATCCGCTGAATATTCATCTTTGCCACTGCCTTCTAGAAAGCAGAAGTATAAAAACTTATTGAATTACCATCAATTCGTATCAAAAAGCTTAATTAGGACTTCGAACTTCTAACAATAATTTTATATTTTCTCTGTGCTCCAAAATTTCCTTTGTGTTCACTTAATCAATTAGAACAAACTTGAATAGAATCAAACAAGTTAGTGGCCGAAATTCGGAAATGTTGAGTAGGATTTTAGTTGACACACAATTAAATACAAGTCCAAGAAGGCAATTTCTTTTGAGATCGAATTCATTAAAGCAACTAACTTCATCCTCATTCAGCCTTGACAAATAATTAGCTATTGAATTAGCGAATGCAAGATTAGCATCATGTTCATCTTGCAACGAGTGGCTTGGTAGCACGGCATAATGCGGATGCTCGACTAAAACAGCTTGTGTCACGAATCGGTGCCCAGCCTGTTGTCGCAGCGGTACAGAGGAAGCTTGCTGTAATCCTGGAATCAAACGAGTTTCACGACTGATTTTCTTTTAATCAACAGAAATGAAACCAGAGAGTAGGAAGGCTTCCTATATTTTAAAGACTTATAAACATTAAAAAGAGAATAAAACTATTTTCAATTTAATGAACATATTCGCAAGCTTTTGCAAGTTTCTGCAAAACTGTTTTTGTAGGCATCGCTACCCGATACTATAAATCATAACATGCCCATTTGAGAAGCATGGGGTGTTGTCAATACGGTGGCACGATGCGGTGAAACAGAGATTCCGGGATGCGAATGCGAACTGTTCGGAGCCTGCTGTTGATGCAACTATAAAACAAAAGAAATTTAGCATGAATCCTGAAAGCGTTACTTTTAAAAATATATTAGAATTTCACAAAACTGGTTCAAAGCGGTGAGAAAAAAAAACTATTCCGAGATATCAGAAAAGATAACAAACCTGTTGTTGTTGCACGCCATGACCCAAGACTGCATTTGTGCTTCCTGCAATAGCAGCGGAGCGCTGATCGATTACTATTTTTTCATTCCCCGGTACTGTTCCTGAAACCAATTTGTTCGAAAAAAAAACCGACAGTTAAATTTAATGAATAACTAATGGTAACAAATTCTGGCACCACAAATAACTTCGGACCTTGGTCAACAGTAACAGTTTTTTCGGAAATTCCATCCTCTAGAACAACTTCATCGCCTAACTGCCCACGGCCATTTGACATTCCCTGCACACTAACTGCTGCAACACGTTTTCTACGTTGTGGAATACCCACTATCTTCAGTTCACCACAAACTGTAGACATGCCGTTATTCGCTGATACTGTATCAGCATTCAACTCCGACACATTTACCAACCGATACCTATAAGTAAACAGATCATTCCTTAAATGATGGACTAGTTTTTGCAAAGTTAAATTCTACAATTTGTAAAAAAATCCGTATACACTTAGAGAAAAAAACAAAATTCTACAATCAGTCATGAATGATTTTTAAACACTTACATTTTTTGTGATCCATGCTGATAAAAAGTTGTCGGATCAATGATCATTGTCACCGTGCCGCCATCATCTGCAAATGACAAAGACATAATCCTCCCGGATGGAATACAAAAGTATACAAACACTGTTTCTGATTATAATAATATAAAATAATGAAAGCCTAACTAAAGAGTAGTGAAAATTACTTGTCCTGACATTGACATCCTTTTTAATCACACTAGTCACCGGTGCCACACCTCGTGCAGTAACTGTAACCACTCCACCATCAGCCGTTTGTAACTGCTGTCCTATTCTTGGCCTTGGTTCTACTTTAGGTAACAAAATGGGTTGCTGCTGATGCTGTTGTTGAGATGATGCCACCTAGAAAGATCAACTGTTGAAAAATACCTGAAAAGTTGACAAAATATCTTCTACTTGTAATAAAATTCTGTTTACGTCTGTCTCATATGTCTGTTCACATTACCCGAAGATTGCTCGATCTTTTTTCATTCATAAATTTCATCAAATACTGGAAGATCAGAGACTTTTATCACCAATATCTTATAATCACCTGTTGTGATTGAACGGCAGTCAGTACTACCATACTCGACGGGTGCTGACTTAAAGACTGTCGTTGACGCTGCTGCAAAACAACTTGCTGTTGATTAGAATGTGAAGTTGTCGCTGCGAATGTTCCCACGTCTATTTCACTACTTGCTGTCGACGAACATGGACTTCCGTTATCTTAAAATAACTTAAACTCTTAAGCATAATGAAATCTGATTATAATTCAAGCACGACCGATGATACTACCAACGAAAAATCGCATAATCAAATATTAATCAACAACAACTTCCATGATCGATCCTCAGATGTAAAAAAATGATCATTGCTTAATAAAAACATAAATGTGGATTAAATAGGATTTCTAAGAAGTATAGAAAAAGCGATTTCCTTCTTTTGCATCTGATACAGGGCAAGTTTGAATATTCGCGAAAAATAAAAAGTCACAAAGCTTGGAAACAAAATAAGATTTTTGACGAACCAAAGTTGAAAAAAAAAACTGAAATGTGCAATCAAAAAAAATACGAATAAATGAGCTCCCAATACCTTTAAATAAATGAAACAAACACTGGAAAGAATACCCCGTCTGAAACAATCAAACGAATAAAAAACTTTATGTTTCGAAGGTGAAACTTAATGAAGATAACAAAACATCTAAAACACTCACGTAAGTTTTGTTTGAAAGTGAAACCTGTGGCAGATGTTGAGATGGCATTCGTATTTCTGTCGCCATTTGATCCATTCGATAATCCATGATCTCGCAAAGTGTTATACTCACACGAAACTTGCGCGTTTACCATTTGGAGCTGACCGCTTTGTTGATAACTGTAAGAAAAAACTGGTTAAAATTTTTAGAAGGCGAAGCAGATATAAGAACTATAAAATTCCTCAATTTAAAGAATAATGATTACCTGCTTATAGTTACACCATCCGCAGAACTAGTAGATGTTCCCTGACTAGAAGTTTCTTGTTTGACGTTACCTATAAGGTTGTAATGTACAAAATATGTTCCAGTATTACTGATTCCTCTTGGCGCAATCACCGCTAGGGTGCTACCATTATGACCTTCAAAAAAGGAAATAAAAGAAAATTTTAGTAAGAAACTTGAAAAAGCCAGAATCCGTCGGAGATATAAGATTTTTATCCTCGCAATTTATGAGCCTCATAAAACACATAAATTCCTTAAAATATATTCTTGTTCTGTCTATGAACAAAGACTAACGCACTAGGAGATAAACAAATAAATAGTAAATATAAAACACTACCGAAAGATGGATATGAAAGGTACATGATAGACTTTTATCTTACTCGAACAAATTATCAACTCCCTAAAAAAACGGAGACTCCACAATGTTCATTAATGGGAGAATAGATGTACGGTAGTTGTACTGACAAATGTTATTAAAAGCAAGCGTAAAGCATGCGGTTCATTTGCCTAAGTGCTGCCATTTGTTATTGCACCATCAAAATAACATTTCAGAATAACAGCAAATCTAGGCTGCATTCTTCCGTCAGGCGCTTCTGCAGAATGTAACGATGTCGCGAGACTTTCAAACCACATATGTCTTCAGATTTCAAGATTTTTAAATCCATATGAGAAGAGGATCTTATAGCAGAAACTCTGCATCTTGCTACATTGAAAAAAGGAACTGGGCAAGACGACTGCAGATAACATTTGAATTACAGTCAAAAAAATAAAATGGTATATGTACGATATGGAAGGAAAGTGACAAAACTTTTATATTTTAAAAGAAACTCAATTACTACACTTTAAACAGAAATCAAATATTTTCCATATTTCTCTAAGAGGACCAGAATTCATTTCATTCCTAGGGGGAATAAATCCATCCACTAAAGTTGTTTAAACAATAAGGTTTTTCACAAAGATGAAGGATTTCTTCCGCTTACAAGATTGGAGATAAAAGCTTCTTTACCTTGACCGCTGTTTGATTGTTGCGAAGTAAGATTCTGAATCTGCTGATGTTGCACACTTGAAGAACTTGCAACTGCACCATGAGACGTAGGATGAAGATTACATGTCATATTCTAAAAAATGCCAAGAAAATGACGACTTCTGTTCCTTTTTCCGTTTTATCCCTTTGATCAAAAATGCACTTCGATTAATGTTTTTCTTGTGTTTATCTCGACAACCCATTCCTGCACGGAATTCAGCACACATGCACTACTTTATATAATTCGGCTTACATCAACTAAAAATGGTTCAATCCATCGCATCATTTCGGTAAACTGTCGTGAGGAAGAAAAGTTCATATTAACGGCACTGCTTGATGTAGAACAGTTAGAACCACCTGACGTATGACGTTCACGACTGGTGGTAACGGAATCCTGTAATTTTAAAAAATCCGTAAAATGTTTAAAAATTTCGTAAGCTGATATAAGCAACCGCAATCTCAAAACAAAAACAAGAGAAGTGAAGCTCTGCATTTGCTACGTAACCTGATTATTTTCACCCGAATCAGCATTTCGTCGTTTTCTGCGCTCACGTACGTACCGATCACGTATTCTCTTCCATTGCATTTGTAACGCATGAGCATCATCTGTTAAAAAAAATGAACAATCAGATTGTATAGAAGCAACAGCAAGTGATTCAAATAATTTAGCTCGATAGAAAAAATCATGGAAATATCGGAAGTTGATGGCGAACCCAAAGTGCATGTGTAATCATGACAGTTTTGAATAAGAAAGGTATTTGACTGTCATGGAATTTCATGTACAAAAAAGTAGAACAATAGAAAGCATTTATAGCCTTTAAATAAGAATCAGGGCAGAAAAAATAAAACAGCTAAATATACCTTTGAATCCGAGTTCAGTACGTAGCTTCTGCCACACTTGAATCCTGTACTGCGCACTAGAATGCTTGTTCCCATAATGTTCATGACTGGGATTATATAAGCATGGTTGCGCTTTCACAGCCTCAATCAGGCGACCAGTGAAACCTTCATCCAAAGCTGATGTTGAAATTAGTGGTGTCCCTCCGGTAGCAATAGCAGTACTTAGAGTAGTAGTGGTACCGCCTGTATGCTGTCCGACGGCCGATTGAATCTGAATCCCGGGCATAAAGTCAATATTTTTTGATCGTTTCCCTGGAAACCACAGTTTTTTGAGTAATCATTCTAATTATTTTGAGTCATAATTTCGCCTATTCTTGAAATCGTTAAATATAAGAATTTAATCAATGAAAAATCTGGACAGATGAAAGCCCCTTGACTTTATTTGAACTCTTGAAAAGCATCGAATAAGATAAGAAAAAAAGAAAAAGTCACTTACTGATTTGTACTGGGTAAGTGAAAAAAGAGGTCTCAATAAATATTCCAAATAGACTTACCTAGGACTCCAGAAATAATATGTTGTAGCGCGTGCCGTCTGGCATTGACCTTGATAACTTCCAGTATCACTACTTAGTGCAAAATAACAGCTGCAACGAAATTTCAATGTCTTTTTTTTCATTTACTCCACATTTTTGTCGTACGTTTTTTTGATGAATAATGTAAACTCTTTTTGTGAAGAAAACTTTTCTTTCTCATTTTCCTGATATTTGTGCCAACGATGCCCTTAAAAAAAACGCAATCATTATGGAAAGAGTTTCATTTATTTTCAACCAAACACATATAATTTTGGGCTTATTGCTTATTGGGTTATTGGCTTATTGGGCTTATTCAGAGTTCACTGTATGTTCGGAAGGTAGAGATTTGTTAGCTTACAAGCGGTGAGAACAATTCTGACTTATCGGAGAAGTATGAATTAGTGAATAATAAAAATAAAATTTTAAATGTTGACATGCATGTCCTGAAATTGAAGTAAGTAACAAATGGTAACAAATGACAGAAACATTAACCACAGTGATACCAATAACTGAGAGTATTAGCCAATTCTGACATTCAGATGAACATGATTTAACCATGCTAACATTTCTCATCTAACTTGACACAACTTGACGCTGGCTGTTGGCAATGGATAATATGATGACCTCATAATCATAGATACTAATACTGACATAAGATACCATAACACAACAGAAGATTAACCATTCATGAATTAATCAAATTCTGTTCACATTTGACTTAATGACTCATCCTCTGTTTCTATTCTGCACTTCACTGTAACTCACTCATCATTTTTCTAGATCTGTACCGTATAATTTTCAAAATTTCATATTATCAAAGAAGGGGGAACACCGCTTCGCGACACGCAACGCCCCAGATGCAAATGTCGCACAAACGCCGGTCGCCAACGCCGCCAGGCGCCAAAAACCTAAAAGCGATGCGGATGCGATGCGGGAGTTATGGTAAAAATCGTCTTGGGACCCGAATTGAACTAAAGCAGCGTTCTATGGCATTGTCTCATTAACACTAATTTGGAATTGAGTTGATTGGTGTGAGGGTGCTGCATACTGAGCGGGAAGTGCCATTTGTTGTACTAATGAGCAGTTTCGATAGCTTGTGACGGAATTCTTTGTTCGAAGGACTGATATAATTTTCAGCTTTCATCACATATGACCTCTCAGATGGTCAAAGAAATAACATTTGCATCTGATGGCGATGAACAGTTTATCGTAGTGGGAAGAAACAGAAGAAAAAATCGGCGTAGAAGAGGTGAGAAGGTTGCAACAACTGTTTGTTGTCAAGAAAATGAGGTTTCAGTAGAAAGAATTAATACGGTCATGAATAATGCCTGCAGCAATACCGAGCTGATTAAGTACAGGTGAAACTGTTAAGTATGTTGCTGTTCTCTTTATCTCCTCATCCATTCGCTCTTTCTTCCATTTTGAGAAACAAATTATTAGTTTTTAGTTGCATACTTAATAAGCATATCAGGGAAAATGAAGTTTAGCAGTTTTATACGGCTGTGGATATTTTTACAGTTCGGTTTTACAGTTATTTTTACAGTTCGAAAAAGCAGCAGAAAATAAATATAAGAGTCGATAAATGAAGAATGAATGAATTATTCCAGCAGAGTGTAAGCAGTGAGCCTTGGTAATCATTCTTCGTCTGATCTGAGAATGATTCTATATATTTAGGAATGCTACTGAATACTATTGACTAGAAATTGGATGGTTTAGGATATGGCGAAAAAAAACTTGCTTCTTGATCACTGTTTTACTTCTCAAATCCCTTTTTGGACATCAACTTTCAAGCATTGACAACCGTGGAAGTTGGGGCTATCTTCAATTATAATGAAATCACTGTATAAAATTCGTTTTTGCATTTCAGCAAGCAGATCATTG